TCTGATTACCGTGAAAAATGTCTACTCTATAATGAGCATCGACCACCAACATGGGTATAGGGGCTTCCGAAATAGAACTCATCTCGCCCGGTTTCAAAATAGGCTTTTTATTCTATTGACATAGTTCGATGCACGCAAAGATATCAATTTTGAAGAGAAAAATTTCACTGCCCTGCTGGATTATATTCATCGGCATTCGATGACACCATGAGTACCGATCATTATCTGTACACTCAACGTTTGGGCGATCGATTTCTGAGGAAATGCCCACACGAACTAAACACGTCAACACCTCAACACATGGAAATATCGTCAATTCTGATGTGATGGCATGCAAAGAGCTGTACTTCACCATCATCTCTTTCTAAATTCCAAAACAAATTCACCGCTTATACCCCCCACGCTTTTGGCCGTGCGAACTTTATCATCCACAATGCCACTATTGCTGGCACTCCACTATCAGACTTCATTTCCGTGGCATGTGTGATCCACCATTGCCCAATCACACTACATGGCGGACAATAAACTCGGAAATTCCGACGAGAAAAGTGAAGGCCGAAGCAAGCCACTCTCCACTATGGAAACGTGCCTCTGAAAGAACCATTTGTGTGGTGAGATTGCATATTCTAGAACATTGGTCACTACCGGGTTCTTTTTATTCTCCGATAGTCAGATTCCTACAATGCAAATTTTCGCTACCCCTTCACAACCGACCACTCTCACACCGCTAGCTTCAGTGTGCATGAATCCATCAAAGTTTTTCGCCATGGCCACATGGCAGCAACGCTGCCATGTCCATTCGGCAGGGGCCGAGATTGATACCGTATTGCTCTCTCGCTTCCAGGGGTAAATCGTATATCTAAGAAAGTTTTTGGGCCATCGACGATAAGAAAAGAATATTCTATTATCGATGAGCAGGCCCCCATCACGTATTTCTTCATCGTGATTGCAATGCGGTCAAATTTCCCTCACCGTCGCGAGCCCAAGCAATCAGTTTTGCTTTATGTTTTGTCAAGGACTAAGATAAGAGGTAGAAGTTAGACTTCTAGCCATAATTCGGGCATTCATTTCGAAAAAGTTTTTTATAGGGTGCGTATGTTCATTTTCGCTTCAAGGTGTTGTATCCAGGAGGAGTAGACCTCAAGGTTCACTTCTAACTTAGTGCTTTTCCTGAATTAGAATCACAATAAGTTACGTTAGTGAGCCACCCAGGAAGAGAAGAGTCAGATAAGAGACAGTTTTAACTTGTCCATTTTCTCACTCGCAGTGCTTGCAAATTCTGGTATTGTTCTGGTTCTCAGTAATTGCAAAAAGGCATTCTTCGTGGTTGATGATCAATACTATTCTTATTAGTCATAAAATATATACAAGATTATAGATTATATCACGCGATCAATTGTTTGATCGCATGAAAGACAGATTCGAAGCCTTTGAGCGGAGACCAGATCGCAGACAGTCAACATGCAAGATGTAAGTACCACGAGGCTTTCTAGCTTACTGCCGAAAGGATAAACCTTAAGCCGAGTGATTTCTTTTGCTCGGCAATGTGAAGTCCTCATGATAGTAACTAGATCAGTATCTTGGCTTTCTGTTTCTTCCATTGCATTTAGGTTTACACAGTGAAGGTCAGTGTGTTAGTCACCTGGTATCATTATGCAACGTATGGAAAAAGCAATACTTCATGCATCCTACATCCATCAAATACCTCGAGCTTCAAAGCAATCCGTCTCTTGCCTTCCTTGATAAAAATACACCCACTACAAAAAGGTCTGTTCACACGCGTCATCTACCTTTCTGTGGAGAACCAGTGAGCTATCTTCATTGGCTTGACAGTCTGGTGATAGCATCTAAGGGTGCACTGTCTACTTCTACCTCTATCTTTCGGAGTCAGGCTATTACGCAATGCATACTAAAGACTCGCATATACCAAGTGCTTTGATCAAAAGTATGCACCAATGGCTACTGAATCAGCAAATATCTCTAAACATCTGAGTTTGTCCTGAGAAAATCTTTTGTCCACCCCTCATTCACCTCTTCTCACTTGTCGCTGAAACCCGGACCACCTATTGCTGTCCGATGAATTTTCTGAATACTACATACTTTTTACAGATATTGTGGCAGCAATGGTTATAATAACAATAAAACCATACTCCAAACCGGGGATTCGCTCCGATTTGATATGTTCCACATTGGAACGGTAATAAATGGTGATCGGGATCATCTTTGTCGATCCTCCATGGACCTGTGGACTCCTCAGGGGATTGAGCTAGATATTCATAGACTTGCATGATGGGAGAGGTGCTTATATAGTCGTAGGTTTGAAATCTTGTGGTTTGCAATATCAAGCTTTGAGAATGTGAATGGTAGCTTGTATCGCCGTCTAATGATTACATAATTCACATCACAACGTATTACCATTACCATGCTATATATAAATCTCGATAATCCCCTTGAATTTTCCTCTGCTATTCCCATTCCAAAAGTTGTATGTCTGAACCCACAAGGGCAATGCTCAGGCTTATATCTACAACTTATTTTCCACGCGTGATGTAGATATAAAATTTGCACCTAGTGATAGAACAACGTAACGATCCAGCGACTCCAGCAATATCAATACCCCTCACTCTCTTGCTGCGCAGAAATATTATTAGCAACGATCTTTCCTACTATGATGCAGATTAACATCACGATCGACAATAAAGACTCTGTTCTCGTGATTCTGGTGACGAATCCGGATGATTGCTTATTTTCTAATAGCAGTGGTTAGTGATTCGCGCGTGATGATCGATATTTGGGGGAAGGGAGGGGAAGGGTTACTGATTTTAAGTATGGGATATTGAATGTTATTGGCGGCCAAAGGATGGGGTTGTTCGTCGCAGATCTTTTGTATAGAATGCACTTGTGTCTTAATATAGAAAAGAGATTTTGACTTTGATTTACCTCAGCTTGAAAGTATAAAGTCTGCTGTCAGTACAATAGTCGCGCAAATCAATTAGCTCTCAAAAAATGTTTTTAAGAACTTCGATGGTAAACTTTGCCAGAGAGGTTATAGGGGAAGCTTCGAGTGGATGTAATCCTAGGGCTTGCAAGTGCTAGATGCTGGTCTTTGAACCCCATTCTTCATTTTCGATAGTGTTCGAAAAGCCTTTTGCTATGTTAGATATTTTTAGGGTGGTCATGGATAACAGTGAGAGTTTTGAGTGGCAGTGGGATTAGATGTCCCGTCGGGTAGAAGTAATCACAAAAGTAACCATGAAGCATGTAGAGAGTATCTGCATGTTTGACGTTTGCTATATGGATTATGAAGTCTTTTTATTTCATCTTCGACTCTCACTGTTTAAGCACGGAGAAAGTTCTCTTGGGAATTGGCAAAATCAGGCAAGCATAAGAATCCAACTGCTTCTAGCGAAGTATTCCCGATGAGAATGTTATCAGAGAACAAATCACGACATAAATCCTCTTCATCTCGAAATATTGGAGTGTAGTTCCTACTACATCTCCAATCTCCAATAGATGGGCATTACAAGTCCGCACGAGTTAAAGCAGTCTATTTAAGCACGATTGACACTTTTTGCCATCTAGTCCATTCTTTTTCCAGTGATGTACTCTCCGTTTCTTTTGAGCTATGGGTGTACCATACCGGGTATTCACAATGACAAGTGTGCAAAACGACAACAAAATCACATTTATTGATCCTCGAATCCGACAACAGTAACGCCGAAATCTGACTGTTAACCTCTACGCTCCCTTATAACCAATCCCCCATACCCCCTGAAATCCTTAACAACAGACAATAAATACTACTATCTCTAGTCACAGCCGTAGTAAGACCCTATGCTATCCACTATCGTCCCGCTTCGTCCACGCCAGGGGTCCAAGTACATTCACAAGAGATTATCTCCACTCCACCCCACCCCACCCAACTCCACAGATGGAAAATTTTCTCATTGCATGTTTATATATCCAAAATGAAAGTAGCTGTTCAATAAAAAGGACAGCAGTTCATCAGCTCATCAAGCTTCTGTGGTCCAATGGTTAGGATTCCACCCTTCCAAGGTGGAGGTTCGTGTTCGATTCACGGCAGTTGCAACTTCTTTTGCTTTTTTTTGTTTTGATTTTGTCTATTTTACTCGAGGGTAGAATAGCCGTGAGAAAATGGTTTGCTGTTTGTTTTGCTGGTCGTTGATGTGGGTTAAGTGGCCTCAGAAAGAAGGTTCTCTGGGTGCCTATGGGTGTATAGGAGATCGCAAACTGAGTATATCGGGTTGTATGTTTGTTAACAGGAGGTGGTTGGTAGTATCATTATTTGTCCTTGGAACAATTTTAAGGAGGCCTTGTTTACTTGTCTGTATCACGGCGGTTGCAAAGAGCAAAGGGTGTAGATCCCGATCTTTCGTATCTCAAGGGAGGGCAGTTCTGAATGTTTAGGTCATTCCCACACTCCTATGCAGATCCCTAATATTGGGCTTTGAAAATTCGTGTTTTTGTTTTGCGGCCGGCCTGTAAAGTACCCTTTCTCCGACGTAGTGTTTACATGTAGGAGGAGAAGTTTACCGGTACAACAGTCTTATTCAGCCAGCAAATTCTGCATAGAATCTCTTGATAGTCTCCAGTATCGAATCAAAACTATGTCCTAAGATCTACCAAGTCCCAAGTCGTTCAGACCACACACAAAACCTCCACGCTCCGGCCATCCCCTCTCAAGATCCCCGATTTTGTTATATGCATATAAGTTTGTTCGTACCATGATAGCATGATTCATGGATACCTTAGTTTGAATGTTTAGATTGTGTTTGGAGCATGTGTGTTTGGAGCATGTGTGTTTGGAGCATGTGTGTTTGGAGCATGTGTGTTATGTGTCTGCCGTTCTGGACTAAATAGAAAGGCGAAGTACCTACCGCAGTTGCGTCCCCTAAAGTTTTGCCCTTCACAACTCTTCATTGGCCACCGTGCACCTCTTTAACCGCTTGTAAGACGCCTTGGGTTTTTGCAGGCAGTGCTCAGCGGTCAATCTTTAATCCAGGAACATTTGCTTCCAACAGATCAATTAAACTAGGATTTTTCTTTATCATGGATAATGGTGATGAACCTTCGTCATCTTCAGCATTGATGTCAGCACTACGGTCTAGCAATGTCTTAACGATGGGCAGATAACCTCCTAGAAGGATGGCATACATCAATGGTGAAAGACCACCGTCGCTTCTCGATTCAATATCAGCACCCTTGTCTAACAATAACTTGACCATATCTTCACGCAGAAAACAAATAGCCCAGAACAACGGCGTCTGACCTCTTACATCCTTCTGATTAATGTTTGGAGGCTTTTCCAGCAATAGTTTCAGTATAGATAGCTTTCCACCTAGAATGGCTATTTTAACAGCGTGTATCAATAACCCGTTGTTGTCTTTGTTCTCCACCTCAGTCTAAGCGCTTTGCTTCAAAAGAATGGCAACCACATCTTCATGCCCCCTAGAAATAGCATCTGAAAGTAGGCCACAGCCAAATTTCATCAGTAAATCAACTTTGCCACCTTTATCTAACAATAACTCCACAATAGTCGCGTGTCCCTGAGAAGCAGCTTCATACAATGGTGTCGAACCGCTTTCGCATTCCGCGTTGATCTGAGCACCATTTTTCAACAATAGTTTAACTATTGTCTCGTGACCATTTCTAGCAGCGTGGATCAGGGGCGTCCAGCCTTTATACCCTGGCATCCTATCTCTTACGTTTGTATCCACGCCATTCTGTAAGAGAAACTCAACTGTCTCCATGCGTCCGTGTCGCAAATTTGAGAGCAGCGCCGACGCAAACCCCTCTTTTTCACAATCAAACTTGGCACCTCTATCTAACAACAGACTCATTATACCTATATTTCCGGCAGCAGAAGCTTTCACTATGGGCGTTTCGCCACCGAAATCAACGCAATTGACTTCAGCGTCATTATCAAGTAGCAATTTAACTACTTTCTCGTGTCCACGAAAAACAGCCACTATCAGAGGCGTTTGATGACGCGAGTCCCGACAATCAATCTCAGCACCATGCTTCAGTAACAAATTGACCATGTCCAGGCATCCGGCCCAACTAGCTTGCAACAAGGGTGTGTTATCAGACTGTGTTTTAATATTCACCTCAGCGCCTTCTTCCAATAATACCTTGACAATTTTGTCATGTTTACCATCAACAGCAATCATCAGAGGTGTGTTATTAGTGGTCCCTCCGTATTCAATCTCAGCGCCATACTCCAATAACAATTTGACAATGTCTAGATGTCCTAGGGAAGCAGCCTTTATCAAAGATGTTTGATTGTTCGAGTCCCGACAATCAATCTCAGCGCCGTACACCAATAACAATTCGACTATATCCAACTGTCCTCGAGAGCTAGCTATCATCAAGGGTGCTCTGTGTCTGCTATTGTAATTGGGCTCAGCGCCCTTCTCCAAAAGCAGTTTAACTATATTCGCGTGACCGCAACCCACAGCGTGCTGCAGAGGTGACACCGCGAGAGTCTCATCCTTAAAATTAACATCAATGCCCCTCTCTAACAAAAATGTGGCTACAACACAATGACCCATTTCAACAGCCTCTATCAGCAAGGTCTTGCCACGATTCGTCACTTTGGGGTCAAACCAACTCTCGTCCGAGCTGAGTAGAAAAACAAGCGGTATCTCCTGATCGTAATGTAAAAGCTGAAAAACAAGATCTCTTTTTTGTATGTAAGTGAAGCTGCGTCCAAGCTTGACATTTTTGTTCTTTTTTGGGTGATATATTTTGCACAAGTCATGCAGTAGAGAGTTTGAGGGATATGTTTCAGCTTCAACCTTCAGGAGCGTCTGAGCAGCTTCGTCGCTCTCAGTAGCCAGAGCAGCAAGAATTGATGGTCCATATCGCTGCTCTGTTACATCAAAACAAGACTCCTTTCTGGGACGTATTCGAATGACGTTGGCTAAATTTCTTTCTGCCAGGAGGTAGAGAATAGTTACCGAGTGCGTGTATCGTCGGATTTCGTGATTCTCTAAATAGTTGTTCACGAATACCCATAGATGGGTGGGAAATTTTGCTAAAAAGCCTGCCTGCTCTATAAAATATTTCTAGGCAAGATTAGCGTGGTGTAAGACGTTAAAGACTGAATAATCGAGAAATGGAAACTTCAGTCTAATTTCCTCTTGCAACTTTGACTGTGTTTCCTTGGAACGTTGATTAAGTGGGACTGGCTCATCGGGCTTTAATGTGTTTGAAAATGGATATTTCATGTTACGACATTCCCAGAAGTTTGATTTGCTAAAGTTGAAATGTTTTACAACCTTTTGGTTGATGACAGCGTTTAGTTGAGCTAAACAACAATTCTTCAACGTGTCATGCCCATGGCCGACAAAACTTCCGGGAACTCCAGACAATTGAGTCTCGTATCTACCCAACAAAAAGTCCCGGACAGACTCGTGGATAAACTGTACGTCTGAAGCTTTATTTTTCGTCACCTCAGCCAAGCCTTTAGATGAGCTCCTCACATATAGTCTCATTTGGTCAATATTGACATCCTCCTGATCCCAAAAACCCGTGCAATCTTCATCAAGACCGATTTGAGTTGCGAAGTAGAGTTCTTGTGGTTTCAAGGGACGAGCTGCAAATAAAATCAATTTCAGACAAAGTTGTAGTTCTTCGAGGTTCTCTCCATCCCGCTTTAGGATCATTTCAAACAGATCGTTCAGTCCTGGTGGGATTTCGTTGAGGCGCTCACTGATTTTCTTAATAGAAATAGAGCCAGATCTATACTCGGAATTAAGGATATCAAGAACTAAGACGACCCAGAGAAAAATGCTAGAAGACTTTTCGAGGATTTCGAACCGAAGTGCCTCGGCTTGTTTGGATTTGCCTAGCCTTAACTTTGACTTGATATAGTGCTGAATATCTTCCATATGCCCAACTTCATCTTCTAGAGTCAGTTCCATGCCCTTCTGGATGACTATAGTGGGATAGTGTCGACTAGAAAAGCATATTTGCAAGCTAACTTGGGAAACTTCTGCAAGCTCACATAATTCCTCAAAAAACGAAACCATTCTACTTGCTTGCTTCTGGTCGCATTCATCCAGCGCATCGACAAATACCATCAGTGACCTGCTTCCAAGCTTTGTTACAGCATGCTTTAAAGCTGCTTCACTCCATCCATTTCTTTCAATACCTCTCGCGCCATCGGCTGTCATCCACTCCAAGCTATCTCTAAGCTCGATCATCTTTTCGAATAGTTGGTGCAAAAGAGAGCGATATAAACCAGTAGTTGTTCTTTCTTCAATCGTACCCCGTGCCAGAAAGAAGAATGATCGTGTGATTTTTGAGAAATCGCCTTTTGTCTTAAGCTTAGCCTCCTCGAAGAGTAGTTTCATCAACGTTGACTTTCCTGTGCCGGGGTTGCCTTTGATCCAAAGAAATCCTTCGTGATCTTGCCGGCTTGAAACATCGTTCCATGATAAGTATTCCGGTTTGGTAAGAAACCAACGGCATGTTGTCCCTTGGGCAGCAGTCAAACTCGTTAGACGCTCATCGATTTTGGGGAAGTAGAGTTGATCTATGATGCATTGCCTGGTGGTGGCATCAATATCATGCGTAGGATACTGGCAAGGGGTTTCAGAGGCTCCTACAGTCTGGAGGCGGGATAGGTGATTGGAAGATTCATATCGTGAGGCTTTCGATCGTTTTCTGGAACTGGAATCAGCAGCAGAAAAAACTGGCGGATCATCAAGAGTGTGTTTCTTTGGGCGTTTTCCAATCTCCTCTGTGAGCCTCCTAAACGCGCTTTCTGATCGTTCGCCGTAGATTAGTGGCATATGAACATCAAAAATGCCCAATAAGCAATAGGCCATGTCTTCTTCACGCTTCGTTTGGCGTTTTTTTGCCCATGACATTCGCTCATCAATGGTGAAATCAGACAAATTCTGTCCATGAAGAGCTGATGTCTCAATCCCAGTAATTTCGTGAATGAAATGCTGGAGAGACGTCTTGTCGCCAAGTAACATACCATTCGAGCAGAAGAACTCGACCGATCTCGGCGCAAGAAGCTCTTGAAGTGTCCAGCCACGAGTGAACCACCGACTCGCTTTGAAGATTGGTTGCCAAGAGGAAGTGGCTTGATTGTGTCCGTTTGTTGAAACATCTGAAAGGTACACATAGCATTTAGTAGCATTTTGATACCAGCGAAACATAGAATTGATAGCCTCTTGGAGTTCAGCACTACTTAATTTGTCGATGCAGCAAGTGTCCACCCAAAAGTATCGTAAACCATCGCGATTAGCTTGTTCTCCACAAAATTGAAGCTTTTGATAGCCAGATTTGTCCAGTCCAGTATTGTTCATAAGGTCTTGAAAGGTCAGCTCATCTGCATCTGCCCCCCATGTGTGCGATAGGATGGCGTATTTTGGAGTGTCGCTGCCAACAAGATTTCTGACCAGCTCAAATCGACCCTCACTGTTGTATTTCAGAAGATGCATTAGGGGTGATCATACCAGAATACCAACGAGATAAAACAGAAATGTGTTGTTGAATACCTTTGGGAATAATCTATGAAGGTTGAGAAGTGCTGAGGGTTTGGTCAACTGAGTGCTTACCTTGAGGTTGCATTGAGGCGAAGTTGCAGGTACCAATTGCACACTTGCTACTGCGGTTAGGTCTGCACACCAAGTTGAAGTTCATAGGTACCTAAGCATAGAAAAGCCAATCATAACCATTTGTAGGTATGTGGCTTACTCAATTGGGATTTGGCCCCACGATCTTCGAATGAAATGAGGCTGCGACTGTGCACACCAACACAACGTTTGGATTCGGACCAAACGTTCTGATAAGTTTCCATTCTTACTTCATAGCTTGATTTGATGATTGGGTTTCCCAATTCCCAATCCTTACCTTCATGCCCTTTGATTTCCTTCTTTGTTAATTTATGGTCCCTTGACATCGTCGTTGCTTTCTCATGTATCACAGTCCCCTCTGTGGTTCTCCTCCACTGTTTGATGACGCGTGGAAAGTTGTCTTATGAGAAAATGCGATGTATACTAGGTAAATAAGTCTTTGTCGGCGCTTCATTACGATATTTTCAGCGATTGCCTTGAAACTTCACCCTATTGAAGTAGTCTATTTTAGCCTTTAACAGCGTCCTATTTCCAAAGTTTTTCGGTAAACACTATCAGCAACCAGAGGCCAAGGGCTATACCCTCCTTAACTTTACACCGCGTATCACTTCACAATCCCACCAACCAAGCAGTCTTTCCTTTCAGTAGCTTTCGGATAAAGAGGTCTGCCACTTTTCTTAATACAGATGACAGACCAGAGTTTGCTCATCACTCTCCAAATTCCCCTTTAGACCGCGATTATCTACCCGTCCATATACATCTCACAAGCGAGACTTCCACATCGATGAAGGAATGAAAGACAGGTGTTGGGGGCAACAGACGAGATATTTCTGTCGAATTTCCGAAAGATCCGCGAAGAAAATCAATATTGTGCCCTATTCTGCCCGCATTTCTGTCCCATCCCCTCCTCATATATTCTACAGCCTGGGCACTCTTCACCATCAGATTATTCTCCTATACCACACAGTCCCTCATCTTTCTTCCCAAATCCTGTTCATTCGTTCATAACCTCCTCATCACCAATCTACACTCCCATAAAAACACCACCAAAACATTCCTTCTCCTAAATCAGTCCACCAAATCTATCCACCCACCTCTCATCCCCCAAAACCTCATCTAACTATCAACTAACCATCCAGTCACATTAGAATCAACACCAATCCCAGCACCAATATCCATATCTACATACATAACCAGCACTACACTTTAATTCACCTCTACACCCTCATCTCTCATCTCTCACATCGTACCATACTATACCCTTTCTCTTTTCTACCCATAGATCTACCCCTCCATCCAATCATCTACCCCTCTATCCTTTATTTCTCTCTTCCACATCAGTTTCTCTCTAGGACTTATTCATCTCCAATCATCCAATGATCCATTACACACCACCACCAAAAACTTCATCATACAATTTCCCCGTCAATGACCTATTCGGATCTTCACCATCACAACATATACTCCTATATCACTCTGTTATCTATCTATCCTCCACTTTCTACTCAAACCCATTTACTCATCTACCTATCAACCTCCTATCTATCAGCCTACCTACCAACCTCTTCACCTACCCCTTCAAATATCAGCCTACCTACATACCTACCCACCTTTAACGCATATGCAGTGCACCCAGTACAATACAGCATGGTACAATACAATACAACCACAACTTAAAGAATAAACCCTCACGCTCATTGCTTGTCGCTCATCGCTTCATTACTCATGCAATCCCAATTCCAACCTCCACCTCCAGCTAAATCCAATCTCCACATTTACTCCAGCCTCGACTCCATACTTTCACATTTACTTCAACTCCTTTTTCAGCTCAATCTTCAGCTCAATCTCCAGTTCAATCTCAATCCCAATATCAATTTCAACCTCTCTCTCCAGCTCAATCCCAAGTCCCATCTCATACCTGCCTGCAATTCCCAATCCCTAATCCCTACTCCAGATCCTCATTTTTATACATCTACTTCCATTTCCATTTCCATTTCCATCCCCATTCTGCTCGTACACCCCACCCCAACCCCTTGTTCAACTACTTCCAAGTTCCGTACACCACTTTCTCTATCCCTCAATCTACACTCAACTAACCATATATCAACCTACAGATCATCATCTCATACTTCACATCAAACCCAAACCTCACTCTGCCCCTTAAAATACGGTTGCACGTGGAACCAATCCGAGTAAACCACAAATTAATTGTAAATGTAAAGGTAAAATGTATCTGATTTGGATTTTCAATTTTTTTGAATTTATACAAGAAAGACTGATTGACTGACGACCATGATCCCCATTTCCTTTCCTATCCCTATCCTATTTCTCTCAAATTCCACCATCCTCTGATCCCTTCTCGACAACCAGATACCACCTCATCTCACTTTTTCCATGTCAATCAATCTTCCCACGCTCCCCCACACCTCTCATCGCATATCTTCACACCCCCATTCAAATTTCAATGTGGTGTAATATCTATATGCAAATCGCGGAACCTTGAAATCGCCACAAAAAAAATCCCTAAGATGTGTTTCTCGAATGTAAAAACACAAAACAGAACTCCTTCGGCTCCAATCCCAATTTCCCCATCTAATTACAATAAAAGACATTATTCTCTAGCTGTCAACAATTCACATTCGAAAAGACCAGTTCAAGATCAATTCAGCACTTCTTCGACAAAATAACCATGTCCATCGTTTGATAATCACGTATGGTAAATCATCGTCATGTTAACAAAGTATGAAATCGACACCCAATATTGACAATTGATAGGGCTTAACAGGTACGTAAACCTAAAAAATGCGCGCTCAAATGCATCAATCCAGAAAGAAACAAAGTAAACACCCCTAATATTTTGCATCTCTTACACCTCACATACCTTGACGCATACCCCATTCTGGTTTCAAAGTCGTAGCCATATCATCCCTGGTAAAGACGATATCCTGAGGGATTTTACTGACACGATAAGCACCATTTTTAATCGCATTTGCTTGAACCGATGAGATTCCACTCTTGTTACTTCGGATACTACCAGCATCACTCATAGTATCTGGATCCTTGAATCTTCTTGGAGGAGCGAAATCAAGGGATGTGAAGGTACCAGATTTTCTCAACATGTGGCTGTGTGAGATGTTAGTTCAATGATTCTACCTTGAATAAGATAATTGGCAAAGGGAAAGACTTACGGGCTTGGCATTGCAGCAAGTTCATCATATGCTCCAACAATTGGTGCAAATGCTGGAAGTGCAGGTGAATATGGTCGTCTTTCACCGAAAGGACTTTCAGATCGACCGGCAACACGATCACGGACAGTTAATTCTGGTGCAAAGTCGAGTGTGTTGAGTAAAGCAAATGAATCGTCCCTGAGCTTGGATGGGGTAGGTAACGAAGTAAGTGGTTCAGGGGGTGGCAAATTCTTTCTTGGAGATGGCATGGGACCGCGTTGAGAAGCAGATGAAGATGCTCTTGGCCCTTCGTTGAATGGCATTCTAGGAGGTCCACGCATTGAGGAACCACCCATTGAGCCATGCATGGAACGTGGTGGTGCTCCTTGGAATCTTGGTGCACGTGGAGGTGGTGTCATAGCACGACGCGTGATAGGTTCAGCGTATGGCAAAACGAAGCTGTTGGTGGCTGGATCGAAGTAAGTAGAATCTCCTGGACCAGGATAGTTCGCATCATAATCCTCAATGTATTGACCTTGTGGTGCTGGTCTTGAGTCATCAAAATATTCCTTATAGAAAGATCTAATTCTGTTGGCACGAGTTTCAGGATCTTCTGAAGCATCAGCTGGAGCATCAGGAGGTAATGGTCGGAAACCCATGGAAAGTCTTTTAGGATCAAAACCGGGAGCACCCAAACCAGCTTGAGCAAATTCTTCAGGTGGGACGTCCATGGAGTAACGATTTGCCTTGTTATTTGTGATTTCGCGAGCGGGAGATGGTGGTGTGATCTCGATTCCATCACCGTAATCACTAATCTCAGAGTTTCGGGGTTTTTGTTGCTGTTGTGCAGTAGGTTTTGGATCCGTTGCTGAGGTATTAATTGCTGGAGGGGGCGCTTTACGATTTGTATTTGGCTTTGGTTCGGCGGGACCAGTTGGAGCAGCAGCGGATGGAGCAGAAATGATTAAGGAGCCTAGGTAATTGTTACTATCTCTGATCGCATTATATTGGTTTCCAGCATAAGATTCCCGGTCCGGATAGGGCATTGGAACGGGCATAGTATAGGAGAAACCATTTGGGGGGCGTGAATTACCTGGTAGACCTTTGCTGGCAACATTTTGTGGTGGAGATGCAGCTTCCTTGGGTTCCGCCGGCATGTTAGCAGGTGGGATTGAGTTTGATCTTGGTGGAGTAGAGCCGGTTGAAGGTGGAGTTGTTTTTGACATTGCAGCAGCATTTGATAGGAGACCTTGTCCGTCCGGCGAGCCAACATCGTATGCTTTGGAAGGAGCAGCGCTTGATTCAGTCATAATCGAAGATCCGTTGCGGCCTTGTTTGGAACGTAAAGAGCTGCCCCCGACAGCTTCATGTACTGGACGATAAGGATCTTCGTTCGAGTGGATTGTTCTTGAGAGCGAATGGAGGCTTTCCCTAGAATTTTGTAGTTCTGGTGGTAGTAAATATGGACTTTTACCTCCCAGATCCAAGGACATTTGTCGTGTTCTTACAGCACCTCCTTTCTCGTCATCGAAGTTTGAGATTCCTGATTCCCCACCAGCAGTTCTCGAAATTCTACCCATGCCAAAGTCCATATTCTTGGTTGGATCATTCATATCCTCTTCCCTAGCCTTCTTCATATATCTTCGTTGCAGAATTGTGAATAAGATGATGGCGCCGCCGACAGGAATACTATCACGATCAATGATTAGAGCTCAGAACAAACCCACTGAATGTTAGATAAATTAAACTTACACGATACCTAGGATGACGGGCAAAGTGTAGGCAGAAGGGCCAACAGGCTTTTCACAAGCAGCAGAAGTATCATTTGCAGCACATGTGCTTGAGGATTCGGCAGCTGAAGTTGTAGCACTTCTTACCATAAGAACTGGATCTGGCAATGACATTTTCAATATCGATGCAATATTACCAATATCTTCTGCAGCCGCCTCTGCTAATGGTACTCGACGTGCCAACCTAATAATATTTGCTAATCTTTGATGGTCCGCCATATTGGCATAGGTAATCCTGCTACCGAATTTGACTGATCTCGTAGGAAATATTTAAAACGTGCGATCGATTATGGAATTATAAAACGAGTTTGCTATTATCGTAGGTCGTCTTGGGTATCTTTTTCGCTCAAAGGCAGGTGCGATTCGAATATGGTACTTGGTAAATAGCAGGCTGTGCGAGTGAAATGGGAAATTAATGCGAATATCAGACCGGGAAGATCGATTGGTGAATTATCTTTAATTCTTTTTTTTTCGGTATAGGACAGTCAATATGAAACAGTCGAAACGGTTGACGTAAAGTCAAAAGTAAATAATCAAGAACTATTGAGGTTGAGAAGATGAATTTGGATTAATTGATGTTTTTTGCTTTTCCTCGAAAGAGTGACTGTGGTCGGATTGATTTGGGAAGTAAACAACGAATGAATGTGTTTTTGGAGGCAGTTATAATAAAAGGAATGTGACGCCTGCAAGCAAGCAGGAGAATTAACCTCCAAGAAGATGGTGTTGTCTAAGAAGGATGAGGAAAAGGTCAAAGGGTTTCGAGGTGAAGGGGAGAGAAAGGTAAAGGAACGAAGGTGGTTGAGAGATGGAGGAGGAGGAGGAGGAGGAGAATGACAAGAGCGAGAAAAGCGAGAACAGAGATAGAAGATTGGATGGATTTTAGAAGATGGGCCAGAATTAAGAGATGAGCTAGGGGGTCATGGTGAGCTAATCCCAAAGTAGCTTAATCAGGGGTACGAAACCACTAAAACATGGATAAACATGGATGAATATGGATTTTATATATTAACCGATTATGATCTAACTAAGGACGGACTAGCATCAATCTGAGAAGATTGGACGAACTTGATAGATAATTGGGTGTGGAGGATTCACAATTTCAATTATGGGGATAAATCCTAGATTTGTGGAGGGATAATGAAGATATGGACGATAGGAGAGAAGTACAAGAATCAACACAAATCGTAGGCAGTATTGAGATGTTGATAGATGTTGAGATATGTATCAGAGCATAAGAAGGCAATCGACAGTCAACCAGATCATAAGTATCTACACGGGACGAAGGATATCATCAGAACTTCGAGCGCAGCGAGCTATGGGGGTTTGGGGGCTTTGCCCCCATGAATGAATGAGTATCATACCAGTGAGTAGGTACCTACCTAGGTAGATTTAATCCCTCATTATTTCATTTCATATCCCATCTCTGAATACTCCGTATACCAGTGCGTGTATTGACATCTTCACCATCACAACACAACAATACACCGAAGACACACTACTCTTAGTCCTATTCTCTCTCGACTCCGTAGACTACCTAGTATCTAGACCATCCGTTGCCCAAAAAAATCATAATTGTTTCTATCAATAGAATTGTGAAATATTCCCGATTTCGATCAGATGTCTTAAGTCTCTTGAAACCCTTTCAGAAAGTCCACGTTGAATCTAAAAAAGTCAAACCTTTAGATGTGGACAGGGTACGCAATCACTAATTTCGATGAGTGAGTGGACGAGTGAGTAAAAATACCATTTGATGAAGTTGAGGATGTTAGAGGTAAGAGGTAAGAGAGAGGTAAGAAAGTTAACGGCAGTGAAAGATGAATTTAGTAGAATATCACTGTCGCTTCTCTATTTCCCCGTTCCTCCCTGCCTCTACTCTGTATCGAAAATATTGATGTCGTCCTACTTGCTAGGCGAGTTACGATTGACTGTACATACCTACATTCTGTACCATCTGTACATGTGATGATACTGTGGGTAGGTATGGTACTAATACAAAATCATTTATACATACTTGTGACATACATATCTTCAATGAATACTTAATTCAATCATTATACTTTTCGTACGTATATTCGGCTATACAAAACAACATCTTCTGACACGCCTCCTTCTCCACGGAGTATTTCCAGTTTGAAACCCTAAATCCAGATGATTGAATTGTATTCGAGAACGAGAAAGACTAGGCAGCCCGTCAGGAAAAGAGGCGCAATCATCTGTCAGTGTTGTCAATGGAAACCATTCTCGTAATATATAGATCCTAAGGATTCTCAAAATGTAACCGAAGACTCCTATAAGTTCTGAATGGGCTTGAAATATCTTAACCCTGAAAATAAGCATCATTTTCTTCTGAATATTGAGGAAGCTTACATTACATGATTTCGCACTCTATTCATCCTTCAACCGCATCTCCATGGATCATCAAGGGAGGTATAAATGCAGTGCCCCAAAAGTTGTGGTAAATGAACCTCGTGCTGTATTCGTGGTACTTTACCGTTATGTACTGTATCTTCGGATATTGACAAATTCCCCTCGTTCGTATCTCGTACTTTGATACCAATAATTGATTGATACTGGCATCCAGATCCACAACCACGCCCAGTCCACCATCAAAAAGGTTTGCGAATGGCGAATCTCATAGGACTGTACCGTATCTGACCATGATAGAATTGTGATATCCTGGATGATGGCCACCTCCTATCATGATTCGCAGATCCAATAGATTCATCCATTCTTTATCTCCCTCCCTCTCTTAAAATTAAGATTTACAGACTCCAGACACATTTCCAACTGTTCTCCATCAGCTAACATCAATACCGATGCACAAAGCACAAGCACGAGCCCGACCGATTCAAAAACCGCACCCACACATGCTGTACGTGAGATCCACAACGGTACAGAAGACCAATAGTAGACCAGAAACATAAATGATAGGCATGGGCTTATGGAAATGGGTGTGATCGGTGCCGCGGTGGCAGAAGTGGCTTCCAAGTCCCAAATTCGGTTCCATGGTTTGTTTGGTTTGATAATAAAGATAGCGAGATTAAATGATCCTAACCTTTCCATCGATTAATTTATAGAGAATGATGAGGTTGATCCTGAAATACATTGGCCGAATTAAACATGTTGGTCTGCGTATTCGATAAACTCAATTGAATGCGCAGCAGATGTAAATGATCTGACTGATGCTTGAGCTATTTGAAAGTACATAATCAAACTGAGACTCGACTGGAGAGAAAAGATAGAAATATAAGATATACCTAGGGAGGTGTGCAGGCTGAGAGAATCCTTCAAAAGGGGCTCGAGATGTCAATCATTGCCGGCGCGATCAATAGCATCCATGGATAGCATAATAAACCTTGGAAACCTCAGGAATCGACGGATTCGATAGAAATATTGTATTGCAAGCCGTCCGTCAAACTGAGTAGAATTGGGAATGGAATGGAATGGAATTGGAATGTTCCACAGCGTCCTGGTATCGTATCAGGCCGAGTCCGTTTCTTAGCTGTGTTTGATGGCCGGACTAGGGGGAGAAGGGGGCCATTCCCATTCTCCATGCTTCATGCCTTAATTCTGGTTGAAGTTATATAAGGCATAAACAAATATCTCACCGCCTTGGCCTTTGAATACTAAAAACTCGTGACTACAAAATTATACGCGTATTCTGCCATTCATCCTGCCATCTCCCCTCAGATCCTCCTCACACCCTTGTATCACTTCTACCGGACATGAAATTGTTCATCTAGATATGATGTTCATAAAGAAACAGTATAGGCATATGGAATAGTTATGGCCGACTTTGATTTATCTTCTACATTCATTCCCGCTCTTCATAAACCTTCCTCTTTACTACCAATTGCGCAACATCGCGAAAGTCTCTTGTATCTCATCGAGACTCACCCTGTTACTATTGTAGTTGGACACACTGGTTCAGGAAAAACTACTCAGATACCTCAGTTTCTTGAACAGGTAGGATGGTGTGAAGATGGAAAACAAATTGCTATTACTCAAGTAAGATATTCTTGGATCCTTCAATAGTCTCAGACTAATCCACAATTATAGCCCCGTCGAGTAGCAGCAACAACGGTAGCAATTCGAGTTGCGGAAGAAGTAGGATGTGAAGTGGGTAAAGAAGTTGGTTATTCGATTCGATTCGAAGATGTTACATCGGCAGCTACTAAGATTAAATTCTTGACCGATGGACTTCTTTTAAGAGAAGCTTTGGTTGATCCTTTATTATCACGTTATTCAGTCATTATGGTTGATGAAGCTCATGAGAGATCTTTGAGTACTGATATTCTCTTGGGGGTTCTCAAAAAGATTTTGAAGAAACGTTCGAATGATTTGAGAATCATCATTAGTAGTGCTACTCTTCAAGCTGAAGATTTTCTAAGTTTCTTCTCAAATGATGATGCGGAAACAAAATCTAAGGTCGATGATGCTATTACTCTTGATGATTTGATTGCTCAAGGTAGCGCTTCAGCAACTGGCCCGAAAAATGACGGGAAAATTGGACAAATAATTAGTTTGGAAGGTAGAATGTTTCCTGTTGATATTCTTTACCTAGAAAATCCAGCTGAAGATTATCTTGAAAAAGCTATTGATACAGTATTTGATATCCACACCAAGGAACCCGATGGAGATATCTTGGTTTTCTTGACAGGAAGAGAAGAGATAGATAAAGCTATACAAGCAATCTTGGAACGCGCATTAAGTTTACATCCAAGATCACAAGCTATTATGCCACTTCCTCTTTATGCAGGACTTTCTACCGAACAACAAATGTTTGTTTTTGAACCAGCTCAAGAAAATACTAGAAAGGTTATCTTTTCTACCAATATTGCAGAAGCATCCGTTACAATTGATGGCATCATCTACGTTGTAGATTGTGGTTTTGTAAAACTTCGAGCTTATAATCCAATAACTGGCATCGAAACTTTAACGGCAACTCCAATATCCAAAGCATCCGCAACCCAAAGGTCAGGTCGAGCAGGTCGTACTAAACCTGGAAAATGCTTCCGTCTCTACACAGAATCAAACTTCCATGCCCTTGAAGAAGCAACTGTTCCTGAGATCCAACGGTCAAATCTTGCACCCATAATACTCCAACTCAAAGCTCTTGGGATCGACAATATAGTCCGTTTCCCATTCCTCACTTCCCCACCAGCCGAACTTATTATTCGTGCCCTCGAACTGCTATATTCCCTTGGAGCACTAGATAC